GAGAGAGAGAGAGAGAGAGAGAGTTAAAATTATCCACCTAAAGCCAATCCTCCTCAAGCTGATCAGTGTGTTGAATGGACTAACCACCTTGGCGACTCCAGACTTGCAACAGGTAAGAAAAGCTTTGCTTCTTTTTAACCAAATGATGGACTGTTTTCTAAAATATCGACCTTTGGGGAGATTCCTAAACGATCTCTCTTGTGAGCAAGTACATTGTTGATAAACAAAAGTAAAGTGAAATTCACGGCCCCATGGATGATGTAATGCTTCCACAGACTGAATGAAATGAGTAAATTAAGTTTAAATAGTTTGTGGTTCTGATTTGTTAATGTAATATGTGATTTATTTAGTGTGTACTGGTTTACACATTCGCCTAACATGCGAAAGAGCCCCGGTTTGATCCTGAGACGAGACACAAATCCCTTTGGGTAGTGACAGGAAGGGCATCCGGCATTTTAAATAAACTCCCCGCTGTGGCCACCACTGATGAATAACAAAGCAACTGGAAGTAGCTTCTATAAAGTGTGATTCATTTAGTTACGCAATGCATATTTAAGGATTTTCTCATGAGGCCTCTGTCAACCAGTTACCATAAGCTGTAGCTTAGCTGCTATATGTACCTACCTCAAATAAATATAAATAAATGGGATTTTACATGTTAGTAAATCAGTAGATTTACTGGCCACAGTTCTGACTTTTTGTGCTACAAATGTAACTATCCAGCCAAATCCTCATCAAAAAATTCTACTTTTTACATTTTTACTTCTGTGAATCTCTAATAAACTGTAGGTGTGATACTTTATTATCTGCATCTTATTTAACCATAAGACACAAAGTAAACTGAGCTGAATCATCTGAGGTCAGATGAGTTAAGATATTTTGTGAAAATGAATGCCTGGTACTGTAGGTGATTCAAGTCCCTTTGTTCTAGACCGTCTTCAACAGATGTCTTTCTCAAGAGCTTATTAACACGTTAGAAGTAATTGCTTTAAAACTGCTTGAAATTCAAATAAAGTAAACTGGAGGAATGAGGCTGAATGCTGTTCCACTCATCACAGGGTGAGAGGAAGCCGTACCACCGTGGACGAATCACCAGTGAAGTAATATTCAGCATAATTATGGCTACTTTTAAGAGTTTTCAGTCTTTTGTTTACTACTTATAGTATTTTTTTTCTGCATGCTAATATTCTGTTACTAATATAACACATAAGAGGTTTTATAATATTTGATTTGTCCTCATCTCTGCATACACCTTCAGCCGTCTGTGTTATATTCAGTGTATTTTTGATGAGCTTTGTCTCACGTGAAGCTAAGATTTCAACGTATTTGGCATTGTATTGAACTCAACTTCTTTCATGGGTGCAACATTTTAAAAGTGAAGATTCTTCTCAGATTTTCTGTAGTAGCTCTGTTGCTGGTACCTTCTTATATCCACGGTTGTATCTCAGGGATTTTTTACACTTATTTCGTTCATTGATTCTTGTTTCAGTGAACATTTGTGCAGTATAGCAATAGCATACCTGTGATAACGTTCCCTTCCTGTGTATCCCAACAAGTCTTTGGTCAAACCTGTTCAGTGGAGATCAATTGAGGCCACGTGTGGCACTGAGCCTTTGGCTTCACGCCTCTTCGTTAGCTACAGCGAGGGCAGAGGCAGCTTAAAGAGGTCAAACAAAATGTGAAGGTGATCCATCACAGTTCAGATCAGAAGTCCACATCTTTAGAAATGTGACACCTGTTCTCACCAAAGAGCACTGATAAGCAACCAAGCTATTGTGAAAACTGCAACTTTAACCCTTAAAATAATGAGAAGAAAATCAAACTTTGCAGAATCGATACTGGACATTACAATTATGGGAAATACTAATAGGCCTACCTGAAGTTCCTCTTTAGGAAATCAAGGCACCAAAGAAAACTGACACAGATTAAAAAAAAATTTTAAAAAGAAAAACATCATAAAGACAGCAAAGATTTGTCCTCAGAGACACAGGGAATGCTTTTAGTGCTGAAAAATAAAGAAAAAAGATAATTTACTACCCGTGAGAATTAAAATGCCCTCTAGTCAAAGACCCGCCTGTTACACTGCACTGTCTGGACCTTTGTTAAGAAACCTGAGCTTCCTGCATGGCGCCATCCATATGAACTGTTGTGCTAAGCCAGTGTATTGTCACATTGGTTGATTAATGTTGCCACTCTCAACACTTGAGCCTAAGAGCTTTCCACACTGCCACAACTATCCTGATTATGGTGACCACACTGAGGGTGGTCTCTGAAGTTGGACCATAGTAAAGTCAGGTAATGTGTTAACTTGTTAATTCTTGACACAAAGGGAATGGCTGAGTTCATATGATGAACATTTACATTATGCGCTGGTGGAAAGTAGAGTTATTATTACAACATGTTTTGACTTTTTTCCCCACAATTTTAAACCATGTTTCCTTATAAAATGTGGACTTTATGTAAAGTTTTGAGACAAGTTGATCTTGACAGGCCGATAAGAGTGAGATGTGTAGTGATTTTGATGGCGTACTGGTCTTTCACACTGAAGGCAAAACTGTTGGTATACAAGATTTATGAGGCTTTTGTCGCCTATGAGCATGTGCTGTGGGTAGTGACTGAGGACAAAGTTCACAGAAACGAGTGTCGGAAATGATGCTCAGGTTTTAGTAAAAGGCTTCACTTTTGTGAAAATGACAGTTGGCTAATTTACTGACATCAAAATGCACTAAATTAAAAAGTACAAGGGTGCGACAAAGCCTCTCAGCAGCCAGCGCACTTAGCGGCTTCACAGTAGAGGGCTGTTGACCCAACCAGCTCTAAACTGTAATTTCATGTTGCTGTGTGAATGTGAGGCATGATTAGGTTCAAAAGGGACACCTGTAACTCTTCTTTATCCTTTTTCCAGTTGTTGAAATGTTGCCTGCTTTGTACTGACAGGAAGGCAGAGAGCTTTAGTGTATGAGTCGACATATCGGCACAGTGCTTGTTATCATGCTTGATCACATTCTGTTGTCTGTCAGCTGGTTCACTGTAACAATATGGCTGCTGTATATTTCCAGGGCTGAGGAGTCATTTCAGTTGTAATTTGGAACGATTTGCATGTCTGTGGAAACAAAACACAGTCAGCTAAGCAGGTATATTTTATAATGCTTAGTAATATGTCTCTGTAATTTGGTGCAGCGGTCATGTTAAACGTTACCCTATTTTACTAGACTTCAAGCATGCAGCTTTGTTTTTACTGAGCGATGTCAGGAATTTTTCGGCATTTTTTCATGTTGACAAAGGTAAAACGGGAGCTTTAACAACAAAATACAAATCTGAACAACAAAAAAGACACATAAGGACTTTTAAATATGGTGTCATTGTGAATAAGACGTTTAAATAAATTTTTGCCTGCAAGATGATGTTATAACCTATATATCCCCAATATAAAAACAACAGTGGCTCATAGGCTCTTCCACTGGTGATTATATTAATAGGGAGTAATGATATTGCTACTAAAATACTTTTTTATTTATTATTTATTAAAGCTACAGTATGAAAAGCTAATGTTTAGTTTGAATCTTGTATTAAAATAACGAACTACATATGATACAGCAGGTACATAAGGTAATGTTTTCTTTAAATAACTGTAATTCTATTAGATTTCATAATGAAATCTAAAATGACAAACTAACTCATTTATTACTTCATTAAATGTTGAAACACTAGCTTAAAAAATATTGACTGAAATTCAGACCTTTTGAATTATTTTAATATGCAACTTAATTTAAAAACAAGCCAACCAGTTACGGTGTTAAAAATGCCACCTGAGCATTCAACAGTTTTTTCATCTCACAACTAAAAAAGAAAAAATTAATTTGCTTTTAGGACTTAGACTCGCTCATTAACGCACTCTGGGGCGTTTCTTTTAACATACCTAACCAAACTTTTAATAATGAAGAGTATCCTCACATAAGAACAGATACAATTATTAAAAACTTACTTTCACTCATAGTTTTATGCTAATACAAAGTACACACTGCACCAGCTGCTCAGGATGTGATTGCCAAATCTCTTTTGTGTGTAATCTTATATATGGAGGTATTTGATAGATGCTGTCAGGCACAAACATGGCATTGCTTTTAAACTGATTTGTTTTTCATTTATGCAGCAGATTCTGAAAAATGACTGTCTCGAGGCATACATTTTTAAACTCTCTATACTAATTTTTTTATACAACAGTACTTTGGGGAATAATCATCTTTTGGCTTTAAATATGTCAGATGTCATGAAGTTTATTTAGCAAAAAAGAGAACATTGTACTTGTGTAATTATGTCTTCCAACAAATTGATGCATTCTGATGTACTTAAATTGAATCCATTAAAAAATACACACAGTAGGAGCAGACACTGTCTCACTGTCTTAAATAGAGTGACTTGGATGGACTTTGCCGTTCAGCCTAATCATGTTTTACGAATGTGACTAGAGACCAACCACATACGCAGTATGCCTAATAAGTTCCTTTGTGACCCTTTAACATTTATATATGTACGTTTTCACCAACTCTATCTGCTTATCTTTATGCATCTCTTCGACAGCTGAGCCTTCCTCCCTCAGTTCAACCTCACCCACCTTCTCCTCAACTCAAGTCTCACTTCCTGCATTGAAGTCAGGGCTGTAACACATGAAAAGTTACATAAATATACTCATGTAGTCCTGATAGTCAGCAGATTAGACATGAGTCCATCCCATCTCTGGACAGCTGATGAGCCAGCTAAACAACAACAGCAGCTGGTTACGAGCTAACATGATGTCAGTTAAAGTTAGAGTATCCTGAAAATCACATTTTTTCACCAATAAACAGTTTGATTACATTCTCACACCACATGAAACACAAGCGTTCAAGTCCAACAATGCTACATCCACTTCAAAGAAAGTTTCACTAGTTCCAGCTAACAACAGTTAACAGCTAGCAACAGCAACAGTTCAGGATATCCTCGACAACTTTCCTTGAAATCACATGATCAGAAGTGATTCACCGATTCATCAACTCATATCTGACTCCCTTCACAGAGTTTTGCAGTCGCCTAAAAATGAACAAGACCAACAGGCTACGATCACTACAGCTGAATGGCAGCCAGAGTTTGTGAGTGACCTGTGTATAAAATTGTAAAATACTGCAAAATATGTTTAGGATTTTTTTTTTCCTGTAGTATTTTAATAATATGGCGTGTACACGAATGTTTTTATACATACACAGTAGTAAAATCGGGTTGGCTAGCCACAGGTACAGGCTAAATGTTTTTAATCTCTTAATTGTTTAAAATGGTTTCATCCTACAGTGGTCACCATAGCAATCTAACATCTGACAGTGAGATTGTTCACACTTAAACACTACTGCAGCACGTCAGACTTTTCCTAGTGAACATTTATATTTTGTCAAATGAATCCTCTTCGGAAGCACGGCCCTGGAGGTTATTAAATCAGTGAAGGCCAATCAGTATCAATGTGAGGCATTGTGTCACTTACTCTACAGTGAATCTAAACACACAGTATGGTTGGTCCAAGTTTCAATTACTTCAAGTGAAATTGTCCTGCAGCCTTTTGGAGTCTGTGCTCTGACACATATCACAACATCTATGCATCATCAGTCATCAAAGTGCCTTTAAGCTGCAGACAGGCCACTCAGTTGAAAACTGAAAGTGTATAACTGACCCAAGCAAGGGCCTTCAAAGTGCACATCTTAATCAAAGCAAAATACAAATGTAGTATAAAAACGGGCATTTTTGTGTCACCTGACACAAGCACAAAATGAACTTGAGCTCTGTCAACCCACAAAGCTTTTCAAATCTATTATAAATGCTGGAAAAGCCACTGAAATAGTCGATTGTATAAGCAATTTAAATAAGACAGCTGTTAGGAAAAGCTGCAAAATGTGTATTAATGCAAATTACATTAATACACAAGCTACTGGCTGCGTGTCAAGCACATGCGCTTCTCCTGCAGTGACACGTGTGGCAACAGCAACTTGTGGGTTGGAGGGAGATCATCTGGCAGAACCAGGACCCTGCAGTCAATCCCTCATTAAAGAGCATTACATCCAACCAATCCTATTTGACCGTCACCCTTGAAAGAAGAAGCAGGCGCTACGAGGACACGGATGTGATCCGTACGGGGGAAACATGAGCTGATCAGATGACGAGATCAGCTTGATGTAGTGAATCTGCAAAGGAGCGCTGTCACTTTGTGCTTTTAACTACTGAAGGAGTGAAAGTGACAAAAGATAATAATTTCTGACGTGAGGGTTAAGGAAACCTAATGTGAACAATTCCATTTGAAAAGGAAGGAAAAATAACGATGACATTTGGGAAATTTGATAGAAGTTAGAAAAAGGTTTCTGCTTTGTCTGCGATTATATTCTGAATTTTAAGAATATATTTTTTAAATATAGAACAGCTTTATAGCATTAAAACCTGCTTTATGGATTTTTAAATGAGTTTTATACACAGCATACAACATATTTTATAAGTCAGTGACACATTTTAATATGTCCTTTTTTTTAATGTAGGATAACTGGATTAATTAAATATAAACTTTTGTTGTTTATTAATCCATCCAGCCATCTATCTTGATCATGGTGGGCAAAGACAGAGTATAATACTGATATGACACCAAATTATAACTGAGTTCATTGTTTATCCTATTTACAAAAACATAATGAATCATAAAAAAACAACAATATCTTTTAAAAGTCTCCACTATAATCATCAGGAGCAGTTACAGCAACCTACATTTTGTAAGCTTTGCTATATAATACTTTCAACCATTATGGTGTCTGTGCAGCCTCCATAAACGTAAGTCTCACTTTTGCTGGTTGCTAAATTTTAACAGCGTTCTGCAAACCTCAAGACACATCACGAACATGAAGGCACAACAAAGTGACACAAATGGTGTGTTGATTTGTGTCTTTGCATTCATGCTAGCATGGAAACCTATATAAAATTAGAAAGACAGCAACCAGTTATCAGTCTGTGCAAATGTGCAAATTTAAAGTTGTTGTACTACTTTCACATGACAAGAGCACAGTTAGATCTCACTCAGCCCAGGTTATGTGGAGCCAAATTAAAAGTTGGCTCAATGGAAACTTGATCATTTCCCCACAAGGCAAAGAAAAAATTTATGCAGGTCCAAGGTTCTCCTACCCTTTCCATCTTTGACAAAGGAAGGTTATAAACACAAGCAATCATTATAACGTTGTACATAAAGCAATGCTGTTTGGACTAGCATGTGATGTCACGTGTCTCAGTGAGGTATCATGTCATGTAAATCTCCACTAATGGTGTCCTTAAGTATCAGACAGCAGGGCACACTGTTGGATTATGGCTCTCACGTAGTGGCTGCGTGCACATCGTTAAATGCCTCTCAACAAAACATGTTTGTTTTTAAGAAATGGCTGATGAATCCTGCGGTGTTTCTAATGATGAAATATGAGACACCATTAAACTATTAATGATCTCAGATGTTATATCAAAGTATCAGCCAGAATTCTCTAAAATTTAAATTTCATCCAAATCATTACACTAAAGTGGTACGTTGTATGGTTCTGTTTATCCTTTTGATAGTAAGCACTGGTGTTGTGTTTATAGAATTAATGCCTCAATGCTAAATCGGTCATTTCTTCTGGTAAAAAAGAGAAACTTCTGTCAAATTTAGCAGAAGTAAGTGAGAATTAGAGAGTCACTGTATCCTGTAAAGAAAATCTCCTGACAATTCATACCTTATCACATTAACATATCAGGTTTTGTACAAATTAGACTAACAAGTTAGAGCTCATCAATTAGTGAGCTTTAGACTTAATGAAAGGTGGATGTTGTCACCTTTAGACAAAGCAAAGGCTTTCTGTTTTTGGTCTTCATGGAAAGCTATGTGGCTGTTGGCTGTAGTTTCATATTTACTGTACACACATGCTGTTCTTATTTACCCCTTCGCAAGAAAGACAACTGGTATATTTCACAGAAATTCTAAGCTAATATGTAATTTTAAAAAAAAATGCCTAAAATCGCAAAAAAGTATTGTCATTGTCGTTTTTCTCAGAAGGACAGTGTCACAGAAAGGGCGGTGCCAGAAAATCGGATGTTTGTACTTAATGTAATGTGTGTTGTGGGTGTTTAAAGATAAGGAGCTTAGAAAGAACAAGCTCCTTATCTTTTCCTGTGTGTTCGGAAACTTGTTCTTCTTGGCTTTGCATCGCGCTCTCGGGCAAGACCAACGAGCATGCGGTTGATGCATGTTTCTTGCTCTGCTGTTCAGGTCTAACAGAACAAGTATAAACAAAAAAAATAAATTATTAATACATTATTATTAGTTGTCCATCATCAATAAGGAACACCTATTGTACAGTAGATGTGGTTGAATGCTTTTCTTCTGTGCAATAATAATGTGGACATCCCTCTTCTTTGAGTATGACTCTGTCTCTCCTGGCCGTGCTGCTTTTAAACAGTCAGTCAGCATTGCAGGCTGAAGGCGGACAAGTTCTGACACTGATTCATGAGACTCGTGTGAGTGACTGGGCTCAACAGGCATGCCCTTGTCTCAGCAGAAAACCAGCTTTCATTATGTGAATGATTGCCCTGTGGCTTTGACGGAAGATTAATTGACCATAATCTGATTATACTGTGGCCTGCTGCAGCCCTGAAGACCCCCAACCACCACCACCTCTGTGGCGTCTGTCTGTGTGTGAGTCATTAAACTTAAACTGCAGTCTGCTGGTTAAAATAAAACATGCTGACCACATGGATGAGCATTTTAATATGTGGAGATCAACTGCTTATGATGCTGAACAGCTCTGGTACCTTCCTGCAGCAAGAACTATAACAAAAGCAGATTTTTAAGGTAATGTTGAAAAAGGTGTTTATCTAGTTTTCCTTCTCAATATGAGTGCATCAAAACCATGATTGAGTCATGAAACTCTTTATGGTTTTGTTTACATCAATATTCTCAAGTTTAAAGATGAGTGTGAACCGGAAACACACTTAGTAATTAAGATGGTCTCTAGTTATAACCCAATTCCTGTCCTTTAAACCTGTTCTCTCCTCTCTGCTTTGTCTCACTTTGCCTCTTGACAGTCTTACTTTTTCCTCAACCTGTAGCTTTTTGGGTTTGTTGTTGTTGTTGTTGTTTTCCAGTTGGCTGAATCATATATTGATTGCACTGTAAATAATACTTAAAACCATGAGTGGAGATGATCAAAGCTTGAGCTAGCTGTTTGTTTCCATTATGTCTCTCTTCTTCTTGACTTGTTTTGTTGATGTCTTGTTTTCTCTGTCTCCCAGTAGGTAATGGCAATGTGATGGATGGTTAGAAGCCAAAGTTAAAAGGATTATTCCTGGCCATCGAACACAGAAGGTCTTTGAAGCCAGAAGAAATCACCTGTCTGGCGGTGACCCAGCACCTCATCTCAGACAAAGTGGATGAATCTATCAGCTGAACTTTCTCAACCTGTTAACTTACCATGGTGCCAAGAAAGCTTGCGTGATTCTAAAAGGTGTTCTTGAAGACAAGCAGGTGGAGTTTAACAGTCCCCTTTGTTCCCAATGTTCCCAGTGTTTTTAGAGCCCTTCCTTGGAGTTTCTGTCACTTATCCTCTAAAGGGAATTTATTTTGTTGACATGATTAGCACCAACACCTCTCAATCAGAAGCAAATGATTTCCATTGATGGTGTTTGTCCCCACAAAACTAAAGCCTTTGAAGACTGTCAATTTCCGAGGAATAATTTGGACTCTGACCAGATATGGCCAGAGACGTCTGTCCTCTGAGCCAAATGCCTTTGTCTACAAAGCACGTGCAACGGGTGGGAGCTACTCTGGGGCTTGTCCTCCCTTTCATCCCCCTACGATCTCTTATTTTCTATTACTTCCTTTCATGTGCAGCAGCAGCAGGTAGTTTACCTGGCATAGAATATGATTATGGCATTAGCCCCAAATTTGTTTGTACTCCCATTCCCCCAGAAGCAGATCCCAGCTGCTTCTCGCCACCCAATGTTCCCCATGGACCAAGCAGTAACAGCCATAGCAGTGACCACAATGGTGGGAGCAGGCGAGGCATGATGTCCGACGAGGCCAAAGCCACTATTCTGCACTTGCGTGAGAGCCTTGTGAGGCAGAAGGAAACCATCCTGGACCAGCGAGAGACAATCAGGGAGCTGAATGCTAAGCTCACCTTATGTGAGGGCTTTGGGGGTCACCACAGCACTGGTCACCATGACAGTCATCACGACAACCACCATGACAATCATCACGATAGCCATCACGATAGCCATCATGACAACCATCATGAAAACCATCATGAAAACCATCATGATAACGACCATAACAACCATCACGGTACCCACCATGACGACCATCATGGACATCACGGCAGCCATCATGCATCATTATCACTGCACCATGGGCCTTCAGGATATCACAGCAATGACCACCATTATTCCCACGGCAGCCACAGACTGGACCACAACAGGAAGGGCTCGTCATATAGCAAACACAGTTCCTTCTCTCCAGAACAGACTGGAAAAACCCTGCAGACACTAAAGGAGAGGCTGGAGAACTTGCAGGTAAGCATGAAAGATTATAGTTTGATCATTTTTTGTAGCGTACTCACTTAATAGCACTTAATTTAAAAAAAATCACAACTGGATAAATGAACTCACTGCGCACTAGGACAGGTGACTGGGACCATGCAGTATCTTCAGTTTGATTTGTTTTGCAATTTTTAAAAGTGCCGTGCTTTAAAAAATTGCTGCACAATGACCTTTTTTTAAATTTCAAAGATACATGAGAGCTACTTCCCAAAGTCTGAGCTGCATGGGAACATCCACTGAATATCTTCCTCAGTTATGCAGGAGAAATACTAAAAAGTATGAACCGAGTAATTAAACTGAGATTGCACTGCAATAAATTATGAGGGAAATGGCTGTTAAAATCTTAGCTTACCAAACGGTGACTTTACCGTGTGTGCCTGGACCTCTTCACTATTCCAAGCTTTCTGAGGGCAGAAACAATGCACAGCAATGAATAATCCACAGCATTGTTCATTGTTGTTGTTCATTGAAGGCCTTTTTGTATCAGTGGAGTTTGAGTGCTGTCATTGGTGAGCTTAGTATCTGTTTGTTAACAGTCTAGGGTCCCCATGTTTTAAAATATCACAATTTTGTGTGATGGTAGATACCAATAAGAGCTCGAGCTGCTTTAATCGTGGTAATTGTGGTCCGCGCCATTTGGGTGGAGTTGCGCTTTCTTAATGCTCTCATGTTATTTATGTATCTGTTTTACTATTTCTCTTTTAATTATTTATTCATTTATTTGTTTTTAATTGTAATTGTGAGTCAGGCACTTTGTGAGTGTGTATGTGTACTTTATAAACCTTTCCTACTACACTTTTTGCACAAAGAAAATTCAAATTGTCTATAATGTGTCTGCAAAGAAAAGCTGCAGACAAGCAGAAGTCTATTAAAGGTTTGAGTTAATTGGGGTCACGTCTTACGTCACTGAGAGTCACATGCTCAGTCACCGAATCAGCTGCCTTTGTTATCTGCTGCCAAAACGAGGGATATGTTTCATTAGGACATAGTAACCTGAAGGTTATTCTATGGATGTTGTACATTTTACTGCATCATAGTTAATGCATATTCTCAGGACTAAATCATTAATTTTTTAATTTATGTTTTTGTAATAATTTGGGGGAAATTTAAAAAAAATAGCATTCAGAAGTTGTGGGCAATCTGTCTCACACACTCATCACAAACCACCCACCAGTCACTATGAAACACGTACCACCCACAACGCTAATATGAAAGCTGCTTGACTATTGTCTCAGAGTTAATGTCTCTGCATCGTTCTCTGTCTTTCTCCTGGATATCAGTGGCCAAGGTCGAGCTCAAAACAGGAAGAAGCTCTAAGTTGATTAGCTCTCACCCCTGATCTTAACCTCTGTGTGCCAGCAGGAGTAGGATAAGTTAAGCTTCCCTGGTGGAAAACAAGCAGTCTATAGTATTTAAACACCGGCAGAATGACAAAGAGTTTAGATTAAAGAAAAATCTTTTTTCCCCCAGTAATTCTTGTATACTGGTTTAGCTTTTTTGTGTTTGAACTTGTGTGTAATCTCTTGCCTCAAAGTAAATCACTACACACACGAACACACAAACATATCACTTTCTCTCTAAAAACACTCTCTAAAATAATATATATTTATAATATAACTATATATTTAAAATGAATGTTTACCCTACACAGCTAATTACTAATCATTGTTATAATGAATTCATACCAAATGCAAATCAAAGTTTTGTCTTGTGGTTCTCACAAAAGTACAGTCATGCTGGAAACCCACGACTGTTTAACCCTAACAGCCAGCAGGATGTGGAAGAGTGCAAATGAAAACTGCAATAAGGTTACAGGATCATATTTTCAAAACTTTCCATGAAGTCCTGCAATTTCCTTCACTGTTCTCCAAGCCATCTTTATTTCTTCTGTCACTATAAAATAAAAGAAATCGAATCCTTTGGCTCCAGCTCCCCTCAAACAGCATCAGTTAGTTATTGACATAGAAAGTCAGTTATTTCAAAGACTTTCCAAAGCACACCGTTGCCTCACAGCAAGAAAGTCTAGGGTGCTAGGGTGTACCCCACCTCTCATCCAGCCGTCCAATGACTTTGATAAGGATAAGCAGCAGAGATGGATGGATGGATGGATGGATGGATGGAATTCCTATTTAATAAGTCCTCCAACAAATTTTACATGGGTTTCCAGTATAATAGAACAGGAATGTCCAAACATGTATAACTTTTGACTGGGAGACTGGGTGTTGATCTACCCAAACCTACTACAATCACCATGGTGTCTATAATTTACTATGACAACTTTGGCTGGTAAAAAACAGACATAGAACAAAATACCTTAGGTACAATCAAAAGCTGAACAAGACAAAAAGGAACCAACTATCAGATTTGTTAACATTACAGCATGTAAAGCATATTAAAATTCACTCCCCATATAGCTGTCGTGAATGGGGAAAATTTCATACAGACCAGTACTACTTTATTAACATATCAACCCCCTCACTGGGTTCAAACACCAAAAACTAATTTATAATGAGACCCTCTACAACATTAAACACATATTAGAACAACACCAAGAAAAATGATACAGGCACTTACTAAGACAAGTGCTAGAGGTCTCTTAAAATGAAAACATAACTCTGGTTCATATCAAGAGTTTGTGTTGTTTAAAAAGACAATAATGTTAAATTCATTAACGTAAACTTACAAAACAAACATCTTAATGATGTTTTTTACAGTTGTTATAATCCTTCCAGATTCCCAACTATTTAAGTGGTTTTGCTGTCTCACTTTGGTTATAGTTTCATTATTCTGATGTCGTAATGTGAGTCTTAAACCTGGCTGCCAACTGGCCTGTAAAAGCTTCATTATTAGTGTAGGTGGTCTCAGGTCATGCTGAGGGAAAGTGTTGCCAAAAATCCCTTTCGATCTCACTTGAAGGTGTGAGACAAAACAGAACTGGTGCCAGGATTTACCCTCAGCCTCTCCCTCTAACAGGATGTCTACACCACCAGCCTCTGGCCATGCACCGAAGGGCGCTAGCCAACCTCACTTTCAATTAGCTTCATCCTTCCTGACAAGGCTATTAATCGTGGCGTGTGCTGGCAGGGAACAAAGTCGGATTTGCTGGTGAGGAAGACAAGGATGAAGGAGGGAGAGGAAAAAAGAGGACAAGGAAACTTTTCCCCCTGCACTTTTAAATGTCATACTGAAGTTCCTCTTGTACTATTGTATTGATATAACCTTTGGTTCTTGTTAAAAGCATTAAAATGCAAAGTTGTTGTTGTAAAACTCTTATTACCAGCACTCACCTTTCTCCCCCTACAGTCTTTTTCTTTGACATCTTTTTTTATAGTTTTGCTAATAGACAAAACTGACAAGGAGTCACAATCATGCAGTTAAAGTCAGTATCTTTCTCCAGTAATGAGTTTGAAATAGCCTTGTCTTGAAATCAGTGCCTTACTTAAATAGATTTTTGGAATGTTTCAAATGAGGTCTGTGGTTAACGCAAGTCCTACACATGTTTTCACATTTTGTTTTAAAATATGAAACTGAATACCCAAATACCTGCTTCAGGAAACCCAAGTTCTTCAGGGACATTAAATGTCATGATGCCACACATAGGAGCTTTGTGGTGGGAACATTAAAGTCATACTACCATGATCTAGTTCATTTTACTATAAAGGTACTTAATCTTTCAAAAATCCTAAAGGGTCCTTAGATTTGTGATGATTATACTAGTTATCAAAACACCTACATATTCTAAATTTCTATTTTTGAGACCTTTTTTCAGCAATAATCCAAAATCCCATTCTCTTTATTCAAGTGAGCCAGGTCAGTGCTGACATCATTTTTGCCCTGCACAAATCGCTGAGATGCTCTATGAAGATCCCCCACAATGTCAGCAGGACCTGTTGAACTCTGTTGCTATTGCTGTGGTTTAAATAGAAGAAATTGTTACTACATTGATGGGGATTATCAGTTTTAAGTACACAAAGTATAGCAGAACCAGATTGGATTGATGTTTTCACTCTGTGGAGGTAATAGATCATTTATAGGTAGGTATAGTTATTAAGCACTATTTTCTTTGTCTACAGGCCAGGAACTCCTCCAGCTCCTATTCCAGCTCCCTGAGAGAACTTCTGCAGAGGAAGATCAATGCTTTAGAGGAACAGCTACACAGGTACTACAGAGATCACCATGACTATGGTCACCATAATGACCACCATGGAGATCATCATGATGACCATCATGGCAACAGCCACCATGATAGCCATCATGATGGCCACCATGGCAATAGCCATCATGATGACCACCACGATGACCACCACGATGACCACCACGATGACCACCATGATGACCATCATGATGACCACCACGATGACCATCATGATGACCACCATGATGACCATCATGATGACCACCATGATGACCATCATGAGGACCACCATGAGGACCACCACAATACCCATCACAGCAACCACCAGAATAGGCATTGGTACAACCGCCACACTGGACACCATAATCGCCATCGTGATCACCATCGTGACCACCACTATGATGGGCACCATGGTCGGCATTATAATCATTTCAGCAGCCACCATAATGACCATCATGACGATCATCACGATGATCACTATGGTCATCATGATGACAGTCATCACAGAGATCACGATTACCACCATCGACCTGGATACCATGACAACCACCATGATGATCATCATGACAACCACGATGATCATCATGACACCCATCATGGCAATGACGACCACGATGACCACCACCATGACAATGATCATCACCCGCGACGGCTTCCTTACACCAGTAAAGAAACGAGTCTGAGGGGCACTGGACACAGCAAGCTGGAAACAGTACTAAGCCAACTGCACCACAGCAGCACTGACCATGGTAAACATACATGCACGCACAGACATAGCTACACACACTCATGATTTATTTTAGGGATGAATTTGAATTCTCATTTATTATTTAATAATTACAGAATATCTTTGTACCTACTATTATCCGGCTTTTATTGGAGGTTGCCCTATAAAAAAAACCTCCATTATTTAGGTTGCTGTGGTTGGTGCTAGTAGATTATTATGACCCATAATTACCTCATTTATATAATGAATGATGAAAGCAAGCACAGAGCATTGTTTTGCCTTTAATAATTATATTGATATCATGTAGATAGAGAATATCTCCATAATAATTGGGTCAGAAAAAGGAACAATTCAAGAAAAAGAAAAAAATAACTTGTTTGTTTCTAATGCATATAGAAAATAGTCTAACAAAAGTCTTTGACAGCAGTATTTGTTGATCACAAATGAATAACATGACTCTAAATTTATTCTCCATCTCACCAGGGAACCAAAAGCTAAAGAGTCCCACTGCCTTCCTGTTAGACTTCCCCATGAGGACTAACTACATGTATGGCAGGATGAGGCGGTCAGTGGTGATGGAGATCTTTGCCTTGACCATCTGCCTGTGGCTGAAGGCAGGTGCAGGTCCTGGTCTTGGCACTCCCTTCTCCTACTCGGTGCCCGGGCAAGCTAATGAGCTGGTACTAATTGAATGGGGCAGCAATCCCATGGAGCTGCTAATTAATGACAAGGTAAAGCCTGTCACCATGTCATGTCACAGTGATTTATGATCTAAATGTTGATGAATCTGGACACAAAAGCTAGTTCTGAAGCTCAGCCTATAGTGCAAAGGTTTATGGGATCTTTTTACCAGTCACTGAATAATTTATCACTGTAAGAAAATACTTGCACATCAATGTGAAGAATCTCTGGGCAAGTCAGAAGATGTTTGGTCCCAGAAGCTATCTGGTTTCCTGTTTGTAGACCACATACAATCCAGGTTATCCTGACTAATCAAAGTCTAGCAGGCTCGGGTTGTATAAACTGCTTGTGGTGAGCAAAAGAAGGACTTTATCTGCTAATGTGTGATGATGATTTAGAACTAGCTCACATTTCACTGCATCAAAGAGTAACAAGGTATAAGTTCAGCATTACTCCACACTAGTTTGGCTGTACCAAAGTAGAGAAAAGAATATACTTTCACCAACATGACCAGTGTTACTGACAGCTAGTAGTACCGTACCACCAAGAAATAAGAGTCAGAGCAAGATGATAATCTGCCAAATTTACTCGGGTGTGAATATTTTTCTCAACTAGCCAAAAACTTCTCTAGTAAAGACTCCAGAGCAATGTACATGATATATATAATATTGTCATCTCACAATCACATACTCAAATTCATACACAAAAACTATAGAGCTCATTTACTGGTTGTTCCTTTTAACAGTGATTAGCATTTTGAATATCTGCTGTAATTTATGTATTTATTATTTAGTTTTACTAAAACAGTCTTCTTAAAATGTATAATATCCTCAAACTTCATTGGCATAATATACATTGATTTTGACTTTTTAAACATTTTTATATTTATTTTGGTTGTTTTCACTTGTAACAAATTATTCACATTTTGGTACTTCTCTGTATACTTCTAATGCAGATTAGACATATATAACGAGCCCCTGCAATTGTCTTTCGGTTGTTTCTCCTAGAAAAAGATTGCAGATGTCTCAGTTCAAATGACAGTAATCAGACAGTAACCCAGTCAGACTGCTGACAAACAAATAATTCAATTAGTCAATTAGCTTCCTAATCTTTAATTCTCCCCTAAACGGAAGACAGATGTTTGTCTATTTTCCTTCTGTGCCCCAGTACTTCGTGCAGTGAGCTCAACAAACAAACGAACAACACAATAATCTGATTATTGTAATTGATTGGCCTAATTGTCTGTAGCACAGACAATACCAGGAGGGATAAACTGACGTGTTTGTTGTCTGTGAGTCACACACTTGGCAGTTATCAAACTGATCATTGACACAGTTCAATGATCTCAGAATGTAGATTAATCTAAGAGTTTAATTACTTTTCTACAATGTTTTATGAGGATGAAATGAGAGAAGATTCACACGTTGTATTAATCCACTTTCCCGACAATCGATAACAGTTGCAGATAAGGCTTGCTACTGTGTGAATACTCATGCAAAATTAATGGCAGGCTATCAGTCTTTTTTTCTTTTCACTCCATCAACATGATAACATCTCACATCATTTAAGGCTTGATCAGGTGTAAACCGGGCCATCGCGACCCTTGGATAATCTTTTACTTGAAGGTTATGAGATGTTTTTCCAAATAAAAATTAAAAAATAAGTAAATAAATAAATAAAATCTCCTTTTTTTGTCTCTCCACCTGGTTCTTTAGGCGGCGACTTTGCCCATAACTATGACAGATGAAAAGTGGCATCACGTGTGCGTGACGTGGTCCACACGTGATGGTGTCTGGGAGGCCTACCAGGATGGAGCGAAGAAAGGCACAGGGCAGAACCTGTCAGCCTGGCACCCAATCAAACCAGGAGGGATTTTCATCCTTGGTCAGGAGCAGGTATGACACACAACATGCCTTCTGACTGTGGGATAACAATGTCACATACAGACTATATCAGCAGATATAGGTATGCCAATTCATTTTATACCCCAATGTTTGCTATAAGAGGTTTTAAATTGAGTAAATACAAAGTCAAATGTGTGGGTCATTATTTATTTAATAAAAACTAAACCAAAGCATCTTGTAGAACCAGCATTAGTGGCAGTAACTTCATGTAAAATTATCTGTTTGACTCTTAGAGGAATTCGTTTATGCACAGCTGCCTTAACCACCACAGCATTTTAATGAAACTGAGGTGTGGATTTTAACTGGGCTTTTGTAATTCTGCATTGTATTGCATTCAATGCATTCTTGTCTTTTTCAGCCATACTGTTGTAGATTTGCTTTCATTCTCTGAATCGTTGTCATGTTGCACGAGCAGGTGTCAGCCAAGCTTTAGCTGTTGAAAAGATGGCCTCATATTAGACACTTTGGTATACAGAGAAGTTCAAGGTTAATTCAATGACTGCAAAGTGCCTGTGTCCTGTGGCTGCAACACAAGTCCAAATCCTCCCCCCTCCACCACCGTGCTTGACAGTGTATTAGACGTATGTGTTGATAAGCAGTGATTGGTTTCTGCATATAGACATTCCCACTTTGGTTTCCTCTGTCCAAAGGACATTGTTGCAGTTGTCTTGTGGTTTGTTTTGTAACTTACTTGCAAGCCTAAGCTGTGCTGCCATGTTCTTTTAGAACTTTTAACATTTAACATGCTAAGTGAGGCCTCTACAGTCTTCAGATGAGGTTTTTGTTTTTTTGCATTTTCTCTGAGCACTTCATGGCCTCCATTCCTGTGAAGATTGGCAGCTGCTTTCCACTTGTGAATAATCTGTCTAACAGTAGATTGATGGACTTGAACTTGTTTCAGAAATGGCCTTATAATCCTTTCCAGACTGATGGGCAGGAACAAGTGTTTCTGATCATTGATCAGATGTTTTGTTCTTGGCATTGTGTTACACTTCCTGACCTGAAAAATGCTAAAGCTTCTGCTTCTATAGATTACCAGCACCTGGCTCCTACTTTCCTTTTTAATTCGTATCAATACTGCTGCTGCATTGTGATTTAATTTTTGTTAAATAATGATATGATCTAATATGTCATGTTTGGTAGTTCATCTGTTATATCTATCTCATTTAAGACTGGCTAAGGACCAGATTATTTTATGGCATCTGGATATGTTAAACCTTGGACTTGTAAGAGGGTCTCTTTACTGTGACTGATAGTCTGTCTGTAGTGTGGAGAGCTGAGCTTGTAAGGCCAAACGTTGTCAGTTTTAATTTTTTAAGTTTTTTTGAAACAGCTGACTTTGTATAGTGCCTTTCAGTAGATATAAACATATGCACTGAATCTTTATTGTCTAAATGATGTTGGTCATTAGAAAGAAAGCAGGGTTAAGACACTCTAGTATTGGTTTCATTTTTAGGGCCTCGGCTTTACTGATGAAACAAATCAAATTTGTGTCAAACTAAAAATGTCATTTTTACCAGTTTCATATCTTATAGAACAACTTTCTAATCCCTAGAAGGTAGTAACATTTTAAATATCAGCTCTACATTTTGACACATTTGCTTCTCCCTCCACAGGACACAATGGGAGGCCGCTTTGACGTCACTCAGTCTTTTGTGGGAGAGCTGTCAGACCTCCAGTTCTGGTCCAGAGTGTTGACATCCAGTGAGATTTACAGCCAAGCAACCTGTGGCGGCCACCTTGTTGGTGATGTCATGTCATGGTCGGAGGAGTCGGTTGAGCTCCACGGAGGCCTCACTGAGCTTTCTTTTGATCCCTGCCACTAAAGATGGACGCTGACCCCAGGGCTGTAGGATTATCCTTTTCTAGTAATTGATAACATGGTTGTGTCAAAAATGGCTGACAAGTGGAAATACATTATTTGATCATTGGTCAACCATAAAGCGATCGTTTCTTTCATTTCTTCTTCCATCATGTTGGCTGCAGAACTTTAATAGCACAAGCTCAGCTGTGGGCCACGAGCAGTGTGAGGACTTTGGTTGTTTGTTTTTTTTGTATTTTTCCATTCCTGCCGGATCCTTCTGCCTTCTCCACCTACACCCTCACTTCCTCGCTCGAACGCTCCCAGCAGGACACCTTTGAAGGCTCCAAAGAGTGCAGGGCTTTGGATTTACTGGCTGCACGCTCATGACTGCAGCACCTCTAAGAGATCCAACACACATAATAGGATTTCTTTCAATTGGAACAGGCCCAAAGGTTGCTGGTTTACCATTAACTGCCCTGCGCTAGCTTGTTCTGTGCGGTTTATGAGCAACATAGACATTACAGAAGGTGAAAGAGATGCTAAACGAAGCCACATAGAAACCTGAGTGAGGACTTGTGCGTGCTGCTAAAGAACCGATAGAAAGGTTGCAGTACACAGCAGGGAAAAGCACTGCATACTGATGGTTGTTTTGCACATTGAGATTTTGGCAGACTATTCTTTTTGTATTAGTATTTCATATTGAAAACTCTAAAAATATGTGGGGGGGG